AAAAGGTGGATGTAGTGAGTGTAGAAGAAACATGCCATTCTTTCAACCTCCCACTGCCCCGCACGCCTGCTGCATGTTTATTGTTTTTTTAACCCCTCTCTCTCCCTCTCTATCTGTGTCATCCCCCACTCCCTCCCTCGTCTGATTAGATCATGCACATACACTCTGAGATGAAGAGAACGGTCCAATCAAAGAAGGCGAGAAGCATTTAATAGCACCACGAAAAGGCATAGGAGTTTTGGTTCTGGGCTGAAGAGCTGACAAGCAGCCAGCCTGTAAAATGTTCCATTTTAGCTATTTTACCATAATATTTGTGCGTATTGATGAAAAGTGAAAGATTAATGGAATGGAACCTCTACCTCGAACAATAGGTGTTCAATTTAGCAGATATACCCCCCAAAAAACGGATCTTGTTCTATAAGACAAACCAGCTTGTAAAAGCGGCAGATCTGCTGTGTGATTAGTTTGCAATTCCCACTGATTCATTGTTTAGTAAATAAGCCCAGCATTCCTACTCATTAATACCAAATTACTACCAATAACCTGCCCACGGGGTGGGAGAGATTTTAAAGTTACCCTTTTTAATTACCAGTAGATAATTCTTAATTGACAGCCTGCAGTCAATGCAGGGATATCCTGAAAATATGGTTTACCTCACCCCTCCCCTACCTGGATTGTGCTTCCCACCCAGTAATATCCCACCCAGTCTATAGGGGGCGTCTGATCTCCTGTATTGATTAATAAACCAGTAATAATGTAACTTTAAAATGCATTTCATAATAGCTGAATTGGAAATATTCTCCAATTCAGCGAATTTCCAGTTTAACTAATTCATTCTAGTTTAGCATTCAGATTTCAATTCACAGTTCAGTAATGTTTAGATGTGGTGGCTTACGGTAGGTAGGATTCAAATGCTGCTGTGAGATAATTTAAATAGTCTGAATGTATCTATTTTGGCCCAAACATTGCAGCTACGTTGTATCACTGCAATTCACAATTTAGTGAATAAGCCCCACCACCAGCATTGTTGGGGGGTCTCAGTGTAGTCCACAGCCAGAGTTTGTTGGCAGCTTTGGCTAATAAAAGGAGACTGATCCGCTTCCTTTACTCAGATTCCTTTGATGACAATGGAGAATAGTGTCCGTCAGTTTGGCTGTGAGTATTGTGTGTAAAACATTGTCTATATAGCTAGTTAATGTTATGTGTGGCCTAAACCTGGGCTGGGTTTAAATTGTGTTCAGATTAGAGTGCTGTATATGTATCAGTGTATGTAAGTGTGTATTCCTGTCTGTATTTTGTGAATCTGAGTATAGTGAGCGCATTCAGGAGGGTTAATGATGTTAGAAGTTGTTATGGTAAAAGGGAGGCTTAAAGAACACAAATCCTAAATCTTGCATATTTACTGCAAGGAAATGTGTATTCCCCCAGTGGGGCTATATCTAAAAAGCTACAGACTTTAGTTTCTATTGACCTCTAGTCTCTATAAAAATAAAGTGGGTATGCACTGCGAGTGCTTTAGGGGTCTAGCGTGTCTGTATATTCCAACATTTGGTGGCTGACACCCTATTGCATACCTCCCAAGTGTCCCTATTTAGGAGGGACAGTCCCTCTTTCCTATGAGCTCCATATTGTTAGAGTGTACATTTTAGTTCTATAAATGGTTATTAGTACTTCACAGGCCTGGCCACACCCCGTAACATTAAAGCTACCCGCTGTCCATATGGGAGGTCAGCACTATGATGGGGGGAAGGTAACCTTCAGCACTCCAGGTGTTATGGAGAACATCTGCATTGCGGAGAATGTAGTGCGGATGTTTGCCTACCCCTGTACTAGGTTATCACGGCAGTCTGGATGCTTAGAGAATAACTGTCTTTCTTGTTCTTCCTGATTACAGCTGCTACTGCCCTCTGGAGGATGCCCTGGATCCTGCTTCTCTCTGTATTCTGCTCCTATGAATTTGCATTTGCCTGTGTTCCGCTGCTAAATGGTAAACTGATCTGTTCTCGTCTGGCTGGGTTGCTGTAAGGCTCTCTGGGTGAATGGGACGATAGTATCTTTCACTCACATTCCTCATTTACAGGCCTTGTATTTGCAATGAATGGACTTCATTTATTGCCCCCTAATGCATGGGGCAGGTATAGTTTGCTGCGGAAGGCCTTATCCTATGCCTAGTTGGTCCTATATTCGCCCTAATTTTAGAGTTGGTTATGCAATGTTCTAACTACACTATCTGTGGATGTTTCACTTCCTGTAGCTTTTAGAATGAAATCCTTTATTTTTCTGACCTATGGTGGCAGTATATATGGGGTTGTGCTTCCTACCTGGGACAAGCATCTGCAATATAGGAATTAAAAAAAGTCCCTGGAGTCTCTTAACATTCCCAGGATGCATTTGGGAACATATCTTTCCCTTTCCCGAATATGGAATTCTCTGTCTAAAGAGATGGTTTTGTCAGTCATTACAAATGTTTAAACTGTAGTTGGATAAATACTTGCAATAACATACAGGGATATAATTTCTAATTAGTGGGGTAATAGCTGCTTGATCCAAGGAGACATCTGACTGCTATTTTGGGGTCAAGAAGGAATTTTTTTCCTAGTTTGTGGCAAAATTGGAAGCGCTTCAGATTGGGTATTTTGTCTTCTTTTTGATCAACAGCAAAAAAAACAAATGTGAGGAAGGCTGAACCTGATGGACGCAAGTCTCTTTTCAGCTATGTAAGAATTATTCCTTGTTTTTATTGATAAGTCTTCTGAACATCTGGTACTCTAGTTACAGAAACAGTGTTTCTGTTGGATGCAAGGAGTTGGCTATGGTTCTGGTGAACCACGTCGTTAAGTTACTCAGGAATCTGCCGGATCGATCCTTTAGACCTGTTTTTGAATTTATTTGGTTCAGAATCGAACTGATGCTTATGTAACTATGATTCTGCAAAACGGAAATTGCATTGTGTGTATCTATCATACATTATCTCTGCATCTGACTGCACAGGAAAGGTCAATTTTCTAATAAAGCAAAACTGGGCAAAATCTAAAATATGGCTTCTACAGTGGAAATTTCTCTGGGTCAAAAATGTGGAGATCTTGGATTTGTATCTCCTAGACTCTTTTCATGAAAGATCCGTTTAACTGGTTGACAACGTCAAGTTTTCTTCCAACAAGTCTGACCTTTCAGCCTATAGAATGGTTGGTTAGTTTTCCCTACATAAAGCAGCTATAACAGGCTGGGGCACACATATAAATTCTTGGTCCGAAATGAGTCCACTAATCTCAGAGCTCATAAGGCAATTCTTTACTCCCCTCACCGATTCAGATCTTGATTAATGGAGAGACCTATTAGGATGCAGTCAGACCACAACACTGTCTCTCTCACGTTGACAGACAGGGTGGTGCCAGTGGCAAAGTCTGTTTCAACTGTGTACTGGGATCGGGATCTCTGGGAGATCCTGGCTCCATTCAACTTACGGGGTATTGACTATGTCATTACCTACAACTCCAGCACAAGAGCGTGGTATCAAGAGAATGTCTATAGATCCTATGATGCTCACCATTCTAAAGGGAGATTTGGAGGGCCCAGATAAGACCTTGTGGCATGGAGGGAGAACACTAAGATTCCAAAGTTTGCCTCCCTGTACAGGACATTTCTCCATGCTTGCGTTTTCTCCTATAGACTGATCCCAAGACTTCTTTAAAAGATCTAAACAGACAGAGCAGTGGTTCTGTCAATCATTCCGTACTGGCCAAACGCTAGCTGGCATTCGGCCTTGATGGAGATTATCTCAAACACTTTTCGATTGGCGTCTGGAAGTGTTTAATGGGTTCATATTTATGGCATGGCAACTGCATGTTGGATCCTCCATCTTCTGAGTCTTCATAAGGCAGAATCCAATTGTTGTGTCTAATCTACTAGATGTTCCGCCTCTAACTTTCTTACATAAGGAGTTTGGTAGAGTTTCTACATTACTGGAAGGAACATCATTATCTTCTAGTTCATTTGTCCGTTAGTTCAGACTTCAACAGCTCGGGCCTTTCTGCTTTGAGACCTAGTATATTCCCGAAGTTCTTTCTGGGAAAGGACTGGTCTTTGTATATGCTAGTTGGAAGTTTATTTTATGCAATAGGCTTCTTAGGCCACCCAGGAAGTTATGTTTTTCATCCTGGGATCTTTCTTCAATCTTTCAAGTCCCCTTGGATTCTGGAGGTGGTTCCTCTTTAAGATTCGAAAGCTGCAACAGCATTCTTGGTGGCAATTACCTCTGCCAAGAGAGTAGGCTAGCTTCAGGCTTTTCTTCAGTAGAATTTGGTATATTCTGTCAGGGTAAAGTAGTGTTTCATCATAAACATTCAATTCTTCCAGAGTTATCCTTAAGAGCAGTTTATCAGCTCCTCTTTCAAACATCATTCTATAAAGATGCCACCTCCCAGCAGGAGCAAAGGTGGTTACAAAGGGCATTACAGGTCTAACTATTAATATCAGTCGATTTTACAGTGAACCAGATCACCAGTTTGTCATCTTCTAAGGAAGTTTTTAATGAGAATGAAGCCTTTTGTAATTCTGTTTCTCGTTGTTTGGTCTATCAAACTGTATTGCACTTCAGTAGTTTTCCTAAGCCAGCTTCTCACAGCACATTCCACAAAGTAATGGCCACATCATAGGCAGAGAGCTCTTGCTTCACTCGACAAAATCAACAAGGCTGCTTCTTGGGGATCTTGCTATATCCCATACATACTGTCACCATATGTTAAAAAAAAAAAAAATGTTATTTTTTTTTTAAATTTATTTATTTTATATTTTTTTTACATCTCTTTTCCTTATGGTGGCGGTACAAATCTCTGAATTACAAACTTTGCTTGCTACAACTGAGGTGGGTTTGCAGGGAAAAGGGGGAGGGACTTTTCTTGACTCCTATCTTGCAGATGCTTGTCCCAATTAGTAAACACAACCCCATATGTACTTCCACCATATATAAACATTTCTGGTTTCATATGTATGGTTTTCAGAGCGGAACGTGGCACTAAATCGTCCAGTCTGCCAGAGCTCGGTAGTCGCAGGTGGGAGACCCCGACTTGCTGTGGATGGGAATATGGACGCAAACTATGAAGCTGGATCCTGCACGCACACAAATCTGGACTATTCGCCCTGGTGGAGGCTCAACCTGACAGAAAGCTATAAAATCAGCGCTGTCTTTGTGCTTAACCGGAAAGACTGCTGCAGAGAGCGGCTATATGGAGCAGAGATCTATCTAGGAGACTCTGACAACTACAAAAAAAACATTTTGTGAGTAGTTTGGACAGAATTTGCCACACCATGAAATACACTGGCTGTGAATTGAGGAGAAGTTATGTGGGTTCAGTAAATTCTAGGCTGAAATAGATGAACTGGTAACGTTGTCCTATCACTGGTGGAAGGTTAATTATATTGATAAGCTGAACAATCTACTAAATGGTGAGATTTTATCTACTCCAGTTCTTCCTCATTCTGTCCGGGTTATTCACTAAACTGAATTGAAATGTCAATTCAAACTTTAATCCAAAACTGGGAATTCTCTAAACCTGCTCGTTTTGCTTCATGCTCTCGGTTACTTCAGTCTTAAATTTGGAAATTGCTTTGCGTTTACTTAACATTGCTCGTAATTTCACTGTTTAGTAAATGTTCCAATCCTGCTTCCTGTCGTCGTAAGGTTCTCTTGGTCCTGGGGTGGAATACAAAACTGGGGGTCAATGTGTACAATATCTTAGCCCCTCCACAGATCTGACACCATAGGGTGCTATTCTGTGAGATTTTTTTCAAAACCCTCTGGATTTGTAATCCTGGCATGTCAGGGTTATTAACTGAAATCCAAATGGGAAAATTAAAGTTTATCTTGGCATATTCTCCAACTCTGCTTTACTTAAAAACTGGATCTTTCTACCATTTGGATTTAATAACACTGCATTTTTGCCTGTGTTGGAATTATAATTTAATCATAGAGGACAAAGCTCTGACTAGTTTAGTTTATACAATATGTTCCTCCAGAAACCATTTTTGTTTGACATTCTTCTTTGTCTCCAACAGATGCGGCAAAATAACTGCTAGTGACATTCCCTCAGTGAAAATTTGCTGTGACGGAATAGAGGGACAGTATGTCACCATTATATTGACTGACCGCAAGCAGCATCTGACTCTGTGCGAGGTTGAGGTATATGGGGTTCCTGCTAATCGTGGATCTGTGTGCGATAACATTGTCTAATGAATCAATAAAGTTCTAAAATCGACAACTTTTTGTCATTTCTTAAGTCAGGGTATCCAAAATCTTCCCGTGAAATATTGGGTATCCTTGATGCTGGTTATTTACTAAACTGGGGTCTACAGAATAGTGAAGGAAACTGTGCCGTTTGGGCAATAATACCCATGTTCTCTCCTGACACCGACTGGGTCTGTAACCTGAATGAAGCTGTAGGACACTGCCTGGTCCTTCATAAATACTACTATACTCTATTTACATGGCTTCCATCCTCCCCATACGTACAGTAAATAAGGCTGACAATGTTGTTGACTTCAAAGTGGCTTTCAAATTTAAGGTCAGGACAAATTAAGCCACTATGCTTTCCAAATGGCTACCTTGGTTTTTGAATTCTCAATGTAGTAAATAATCCTTGGGACAAAAGCTCCTTCATCACTGGGATTTGGAGAGGCTGCTTGCCCTTGAATATGGCCCCTGGCACGTACTGCCCTTGAATATGGCCCCTGGCATGTATTGCCCTTTAAAAGCTTTATTTGGGCATATGGATTTTAAAACACTTTCTGCCCATTTAAATCCATGGGAAAATGGATAATAGGTGGAAGTCACTACTCTTTCCTGTGCTATTGTTTCTCCAGCAGGGCGTTGTCCCAGGGACACTGCCAGACCAGTTGAAACTGGCTGCTTTGTCCCTCCTCAATCACTCATCAGCCTTTGCTATTGTTTAACCCCATGGTGATCCAACTGTATTAGTGAGATCTGACTTTTTTTTAAAAAAAAAAAATTATTTTTAATTTTTATTTTTTTCAGACATATTGAGCGCTCAGATCCAAGCTATCTGGGAATAAGTTGGACATATAGGTTAAACATTGTATTATAAGATTTATGTGTTTTTGACTTAGAGATATTTCCTGTACCTGGAGATAATTAAGTTACCACAGCCACTTAAGCCAATTATCTCCAGGATAGAGGAGAAGATAGACCGGTCGCACAGCCTAAATCTGTGGAACTGTTTTGTGCATGAAAGCCATGCTTGCGGTCGGTCAAATGTGACTTCCATAAAACTTTTGAACGCCTGCTCTGATCTGGGTGATTTTTGGATATGTTGTTTACCCAGATCAGGGATGTATAATTTATGGGTATGTGTTATGTTTTGGAGTGTTTTCTGGACTTTGGGGGAAAATGTGTTCTGCCTGTGGATAATTAGGTTATTGTATTAGCTGCTTTAATTATAACCCAGGCAGAGGGGAGGGCTTGTGTGCTGTATGTGGGAGTGTCGGACATTGTTGTATTGTCTTTGCTTGGTTTGTGTCCTGTGCTCCACAAGGTTCATGTGGGTGATAACCTTGTGGGGAAAATGTGTATAAAAGAAATTACTTTGTTCTCATTAAACAACTTGTTCTACCCTTCATGAAGTCTTGGCTTATGTTTGGAGGATTGGAGAACTACCTATACTCTGGGGATTGCTATAATCACTATACTCCCCAGAGTACAATCCCTAAGCTCTTGTAAGAGCTTGTTCCTGCTCTCTGGATTAAGAGAGGTCTACCTGTTGGAAGCTGGATCCTTGTCTTGGGTCCAGAGTGGGTGGACTATGGCAAGACTCCAAGCTGCGGTGGTTATGGTGTCTAGTAGAGTGCTTGGAGCCCTCGCAAAGCACTAGGAGCAGCCAGGTGATCCGTTACAATCCTGTTTATTTTATACTAAATGGATACACTGGAACGGAAGGTAACTCTATGATGTATAGGTAGATGCACTGGGGAGAGATGAACTGGAAATCTAGTGCTGCGGTATAATTTGGGTTTCTGTGTCTGGTAGATACGGGGTTGGGCTCTGGAGAAGGTATTATTGAGGGAGTATGGCTGAAGCTGTAATGGGGGTGGAAGGTGCATTATGTGGACGTGTATTAAAGAACTGAGGTTTTGGTGGGACAGCCTAGTGACATGGACCCGGCACCACACAATCTGTGTTTGTTTGATGTATCATTGATGTCTATTACAACAGAACTCGCATTATCCTGAAATGTCAGATGTAATCTCACAAATATAACCAACTCATTTATATGGTCATCCCCTCTCCAGTTTATCAGGACTTGAGAGATGGCCTCAACTGTAGTAAACTAGCGGCACTATTGTGAAAAATGGGCTGAAACTGAGTGTTAAAAACATGCAGATGGGTCAGTGCTAAATAACCAAAAAGAATCAACAAGGCAGCAACCCTAAAAGGATCCTTCTCAACCATTCAAAATCTAGAAGAAAGTGGGGGGGAAGAGGGCTGCTCCACATTAAAAATAACAGGAGATGGTAGAATAACAATTTAACAAATCGTGCTTAAGTCTTGTCCCAACTAATTTGTTTAAATTTTATTTATTTTTTCTATCTGGGGATAGGTTGAATGTGGGGGTTCTGTTAAGTATGATAAGAATTGTGTATTTTTATGTGGTTTTTACTGTTGTAAATGGAGATTTTCTGTATGCTGGAGATAATTGGCTTACCACACCCAAGCCATGCTTGCAGTCGGTCAAAAATTACTTCCACTGGACCAATTTGTATGATTTTGACATCTGTTTGTATACTGCATCTGCTGGTTCAGAATATGTAAGTTAATGTGATGTATACTTTTAAAGCTATGAATATTGTGTAAAACTGTAATTTCCTGCCTGTGATAATTATGTTAGCCCATTGTGTTCAGTAATTATATCACAGGCAGAGGGGAGGATTTTGCTGTCATGAATGGGAGTGCCTGTCACGATTCCGGAACCTAACAGGTCACAGAGAGGAAGGGTGCTATACCGGTCCTTAGAGTGGCCGGGCTAAGCACGCTAAGAATGGTCATGAGACAAGCCAAGTAAAGGGAGCCAGAAAACGGGAGAACGAGAAACAAGCAGAGGTCAAAGGAATGGAGAAGACAGGATAATCGGAATAACGAGCCAAATAATCGGAAACCAGAGAGCAACACGAGAGAACAGCACTACAGGTATCACAAGACCACAACAGGGCACTGAAAGACAGAAAAGGTAAGTATAAATACCCTTGGTTTAATTCTGATTGGATAACTTCCAATCAGAATTAACAATCACACGTTGGGGATATCTACGCCTCCCACTGTGATTGTGGTACTGTTTCTTTAACGCCGGGTCACTCACGTGACCCCGGCGTTTGCATAAGTCAGCGACCTCCCAGCGTGCAGCGTTATACATGCTGCCGCTGGGAGGCGTGAGGGACGTGAGCGGCGGAGAGGAGACTCCGCTCGCCGACAGGTAAGAGGAGGGGAGACAGCGGGCGGCGATGGACTGAGGGTGAATGCTGCAAGTGGCGTGCAGCCTCCCCTCCTAGCTTCCCCCGGACTCCTGACAGTGCCAGACATTGTTGTATTGTTTTGATTGGTTTGTGTCCTTTGTATGCCTGTGTACCATCAGGTCCAGAGGGTGTGCCTCTGGCCTGGGGAATTGTATAAATTGTGAGTGCTTGCTTCCATTAAACAGAACTACTTGACCTTTGGCTCATTCTTGGGGGATGGGATAACTACATTCTGGGGATTGCTATATTCACACTATACTCCCCAGGATAAGCTCTTGTAAGAGTTGTTCTTGTTCCTGCTACGCTCTCTGGGAGAAGAGAGGCCTGCCCACGGATCCAGGGTGGGTGAAAGACGGCGAGACCCCAGCGTAGCTGCATCGCTGGAAGTGGGGTCTGCAGTGCTGATGGTGTCATCCCTGGTTGTCCATCCCTGGTTGTCCGGTGGTGGTAGGTACTGTAGGGAGCAGCGATGCTGTGTGGAGTGTTGCCAATGCTCCACACAGATTGCTCGCGGAAGGACAGGAAAGCTGCTTCATAGATGCCTCCCGACACGGAAGCAGAGCAGGCCTCTGCCGTTTTGGGCAGGCAGGTGCCTAATCTGCATTGATGCAGACAGCCAGTGGCCCCCTCCCCCAGTTATCTATGGCGGTGTGCCCCCAGAGAGGGCTCGGCGTGCCATAGGTTCGCTATTATTGTTAAAAACCATGGCTTGAAAGTGCTCTTTAATTATTTATATATTTTTTTTCAACGTACATACACTACAATTGTGTGGTGTGTTTGGGTTTTGTTTTGGGTTTTGTTTTGGGTTTTGTTTTGGGTTTTGTTTTGGGTTTTGTTTTGGGTTTTGTTTTGGGTTTTGTTTTGGGTTTTGTTTTGGGTTTTGTTTTGTTTTTGTTTTTTTCCAGTAAGTTTTACATCAACTTTAACGGTTTCCTGGTTGGATTACATTCAGTACTTCGTTCACTGCACGTTGGTACTTTAACATACTAACATTAAATGGGGAAGGTGGGGAGAGGAGGTAGCGTAAGTGGGGGGGGTCGGAGAGATTTTGCATATCTGTTATTGCATATATTATAGATACGTATACTGCGTACATGTTTTGGTGTAACTATGGTCTCAGCTGTCGGAGTGGCCTGTGCATCTCATTCGTATGAGTGTCTCATTTTGCTACATTTGATTAAAGGTATGGTGCATTGTTCCCTTTTGGGGTAGTCTGTTTTGTTATTTGGGGTTCACCCCTTTTTGTCTGTCACATACACCTCCCATGTCTTCCACGCTGATGTTATGAATGTTTTTGATAGTGCGTTTTTCCGTGCCATGGTTTCATATTGTTTTGTCAGTTGTAATGCTGTAAGGCATGGTGCCTTGGTTGGTGGGTCTGGTTTGCGCCAGAGTCTGCTAATGGTTTGGAGAGCTGCCACTATTATGTGGTATAAGTGGGCTTTGTTTAGGCCTTTTGGGAATAGGTGTAACAGATTTCAGGGGTCTCCTGCATGCTAACACCCGTGGAATCATATTATTTTTGTTATATCTGACCAGTATTGTTTTAAGTCTGGGCATGACCACCAGATGTGCAGCATGGTCCCTTTGTCATTCATACAGTGCCAACATGTGTCAGAGTTGGGTTGCCCCGTTTCAGCCGTACCATGTACCATCGGT